AACAACTGTTTTCGAATTTCCAAAATAACCGATCTCATGTACAAAAGTGATTTCTTTTGTTAAAAGTGACCCGACCTTGCGCTATCCTCTGTTTTATATTTTCAAAATATAAAGGTAAAAGTATATGTCTAGAGCACGGCTCTATACGAGTACGAAACGTAGATGGTGGCCACAGCTAAAATGGAAAGCGATTAGAAGCGTTTGAAATTTGGTGCTACAGGCGAATAATGAGAATACCGTGGATGTAGAAGGTTAGATATGAGGTGGTATTGAAAAGAACAGGACAACATGTATGGAAGCCAATAGAAAATAGGAGAGATAGGTTGGTGGGACACCTTCTCAAGCATGAAGGACTAGTTAGAGACATATTGGAAGCAGAAGTAGCAGTTTAAGAATAGGAGGTAGGACCTGTTCACAATAGGTTAAGGATGTGAGATGTTCTAGTTTTAAGGAAGTGCAAAGATTAGCTGAGGATAGGAAAGAGTGGAAGTACTTACGTGTCCAACCAGTCTTAAGACTAGCGACCTTATGTGATGATGATCTCTATTCCGAGTTATCTTACTCTCTAAATATCAAAAATCAGCTAGAAAGTAATTACAGAATTATTAAAGATAACAAAATATAGCGTCTTTTTTAGAAAATCTTACTTTCTTACTTTTCCGTCTAAAATTCCTCTAATTTCGAATATAAAAAAATGTAATAACAGCATTTATCGTTCAACATTGTATTAACGATTAAGTGGAATGAAGCTTATCCTCAATTTTACAAGCAGTCATTGGGTTTACTGTTTAGAAGACCTAGTATGGACGTTTCAGTACCTAAAAACTTCATTAAACTTTCATGCTGATGTTTTATATTGGTACGAAATTTTTGTTGGTGAATTGGTTTCATTCAAGTCGCTCGACTCGTCCTAAAGGCGAATTTGAATTTGATCCGATCAGCGCTGTCTTCCCTTATATTCCCTTTTGATATCGTACAGCAACTGAAACAATATTTTTAAGATAGAATAAAACTTTCTTGATAGAAACCAAATGTTTTCTTGTTAACCTATTTAGTGTGTCAAACGACAAACAATCGCATTATCTCTTCCAAAATAAATTGGATAGCTTATCTTATAAATAAAAAGAAATAATCGTATGAGATGTAGAGAAATGGCAGTCTCTTTGGGGGGGGGGAGAGGGTGTTGATGGTCATGCACCTCTCCGGACCTCTGGTCCTCGAATGGTCTCTAAATTTTGACAAGTCATTTTTAATGAAATCCAAAACACGGCCAAAATACGTGTAGTAAGAGGCAAGTTCTACATTGAAGTTATTTGAGGTCCCATACGTATGGATGCAAAAAATTAATGTGGGCAATACCTACTTTTCCATTATCAGAAAATGGTAATTACCAATGGGTGTGTTCAGCGAGCTTTTATAGTCCGCCATTGAAACACCAAAATTTGCAACTGAATGCAACTAACCGGAACAAAACAACAAAGCATTTCATCATCATCATAAGGTCATCAGTCCTAAGGCTGGTTGGACACGTACGTCCACGCTTTCCTATCCTGAGCTAAACTTCGCATTTCCCTAGAACTAGAACCGGCCAAATCTTTAACTATTTGCGAACAGTAATCTAATCTAGGTCTACCTCTACCCCTCCTAACTCCAGTTTCTGCCTCTAATATGTCTCTGACTAGACCTTCATGACTGAGAAGGTGACCTACCAACCTATCTCGCCTATTTTTTATTGACTTCCATAGAGTCCTCTGTTCTCCTTTCTTTCTGATACTTCTTCATTTTTAACCTTCTCTATCCACGGTATCCTCATCATCCGCCTATAACACCACGTTTCGAAGGCTTCTAACCTTTTCTTTTCCGCCGCGCCCACTGTCCATGTTTCGCACCCGTGCATATTTCATAGTTTTTAGCTTTTTCAGATTATGTTAACAAAGGGGGGCTTGGGGGCTTGTTTCCAGAAGAAGCACACAATGTACCAATTTTAAATTTATTTTATTTAACAGTGTATTGAACGTAAATCAACATACCTTAATTTCAACTTGGTACATTGAATGCTTTGCTAATAATGCACAAATCCAAATGTATGTTATAATATCGAGTCACCCTACTCATTGTTTATCGGTTTTACTAATTCCAGCAAGTTTGTAAACATTGAATTTTTAAAAGTATGTTGTTGGCATAATAACAAATTGTAAGCCTGTTATAAAATTGTTGGTCGTTTTCAAATTATTTCTCGTTTTTGGAACAAACACTGGCGTGTGTTAATATTCACATCATTTGTAAATTGCTGCAATATGGTGCGATTCTTAAGTAATACATTCTACCTTGTACAATTAGTAAAAAAATTTCGAAATGGTATCCTTTTGCGTTGATATACTTCTGTAACGGCCATTCAAATATTACGTAAACACTACAGGGAGACAGGGGGATCTTTGATTTGCTTATTTTTGATGATAGCGGAGATAGGGAGGGATCTGGATGGTGATTACGTCAGCAGGATTTTCTACAAAATTTAGTTGATTTGGATTGGACACATATAACAACCCTGCTTGTCTATGCTTGACAACGAAATTCATCAATAAAGAAACCACTACACATTGCAAAATGCATGTACTAATGTTTACGTAAGCATGGCGGGGGGTGTACGAGTTTTGATTATTTTTACTGACCGGGGGAGTGGGGTTAGTTGCAAAAAGCCTGCTTAAGTAATACTTGAACGACCTCTATAGGCGGTATTACTTATGGAAGATTCACAGAATCATTTTAGTGTTTGTTAACATTCACACTTCGAAACTGACGAATGTTGACATACACAGGCACATCTTCAACTTTTTTGACAAGAATTGAGTGAACGTACTTACAGATAATATACCGTTACGTGGTTTTATTTGCAACAAGTTTTAGGGTTATAAGGAACATTCGCATCCGCATCCACAACTGCAGATGATCCGCAGGAATTTCAATATTTGTATCCTTGTCCGCATCCGCAAATTTAAATTGTTTAATGTCCGCATCCTCATCCAAATCCGCATTTTCTCATGGTGAGGATATTCAGTTGAGCTACAATCCTACAGGGAACACGATATGTCGAAAAACGGTTAACATTAGATCGGGTGGCGAGCTATCGCTAAGTTTCTTAGAAATAACAAATAAAAAATAACTGTACTTCGCTCTTGCGATTCTACGAAAGCGAGCTTATAGTAATAAAGCACTAAACATTCGAATTTTGTGCAGTAAGTCGGATTGAGATGCAGGTTTCTGCATTTGATTCGTGAGACTGTCTACAAACTTTTAAAACGAAAAAAAGAGATCAATTCATCTTCATCTCGGTCAATAATGATAGAAATAAGTTCAATTTTGTTATTCGGGCGTTTTGGGGATTCGTGAATGGAATATGCGATCGGCGAGGACTTCTGAGTACCTGCGGCGCAGGGCTATCATCATACACGTCGTCGTCAGGAGTTATGTTTTAAATTACTTAAAAATCAACGAATTTAATTACTCGGTTGGCCTGGGTTTCAAATACCTCCGAGGCAATCGCCGATTACATATTGGTATTCAGTGACCCTCAAAACCCTTTAGTAACTAATTTCAATTGATTTTTAATTAATTTAAAACATAACTCCTGCGGACGACGTGTAATACGATCCCTTTGGTCCCATGTAGTGAGAGGCCGTCGCCGATTACATATTCTGTTCAGCGAGTAACAAAATTTGGACTTACTTCTATTACTGTTGACCAAGACGAAGATGAAGTGATCTTTTTTTATGTTCACAAAGTTCGTAGGCGGTTTCACGAATTGAATGCAGACAACTGCGTCTCGATCCGACTTACTGCACAAAAATTCGAAGGTTTGGTCTATTTTTGTACTTTAGTTCTTCAATTAAGCTTATCCAACAATCAGAATTAAAATCTGTCCCCTCCAGAATTATGCCGATGTGTTTCTCATACATATACATACATACATACATGCTTAAGAAGTATAGTATTTTTAGAACATTACCAAAAAATGACTAATTTTTAGATTTTATTTATTCTTCCAAGTATAAGCATGTATTTGTTATACTTATTTAATACTATAGAACCTCAACGGACGTATTTTAATTCTGATTCTGGAAATCGCGGTGAATTTTTAAAATGCCGGTTATTTTCGTCCGCATGAATGTGCTTTGCACCATATGATTGCACATATTTTACTTATATATATTAAGTATTTTCAGATTTAAACGAAATATTCATATCCGCATCTAGATCCGCAACCATATCCGCATCCACATTCTCATCAGCGTCCAAAAGTCTAGAAATTCAATGATGATCACTGTCCTCCGCATCCGCAACCTAACCTAACCTAACCTAACCTCATTAATGTTATCATCTTCATCTGCATCCTCTGAGGCACATCCGTTACAACCCAATCTATTGAACTTAAATAGCAATTACAACAAATACAGCTTAAAATTTAAAATTAATAAAGGTAGAAAATCTGTAAATTAAAGTGATTTTAGTCTACAGTCGGCATTGTTTTAATTAAATAAGTACCAGAAAATTTTTAGCCATTAATTTGGGGGTTTAGTTTGACATCAATTTTGTTTATAGTTATAGTAATTATTATTTGTCAATAAGACCTCGGATTCTATGTAAATTAACGTCTTCAATTTTTAATACAACTTTTCCCAATGTTGGAATGATTTTAAACATTTTGATTTCTAAGAAAGGAAATTGTTTACTTGACACTCCCCATGGTTTTGATTTAGTGCTGTATATTTATTTTCTTACAGTAACTGTTAGATACATCATTAACGAAATAAACTAATTCTTTCTAAATTTTGGGTCATGAAAAATAATGAAAATATTAATCGATTGAAGTTTTGCTTTGTTGCCATCCCTTGTCCTTTGTCTGAAGTTATAATTTAGTACTGGAAGGGTATGACCGGTTTATCAGAAAAGTTAACGGTCAGATTCCGTACCAAGAACGGCAGAGAGAATTATGTTTGCGTTGGTTGCTTTCTGTTGTTCGGTTTCTTCTGTCTGCTTCTGCCTCGTACGTATCAACCAACAATGGTGTTTAGTTAGTCCAGTACGCGTCAGATAGTCGAACAGGTTGTGTGTTAGTGCTCTGCCGACAGTTACTACGTTCGCATAGCTTTTTGTCGCGGTTCTGTGTCTCTTGTGGAAAATCGTGTTTTTTTTTGACATTTCCGAACGAATTTCTGCATTTGTAATCCACGATTTTCAACGGTAAGTTCTGCATCTATTTTTTCTTATCTGTTTAAGGATGTGTTAAATTTACACTTATTTTTGTATTGAATTGAATTGACGAACCGGCTTATTAACACCTTGCTAATTGTCAACGTTTTGTGGAAGTAAATGAGACAGTTTTAATTCGAAACAAATTAATGACTGAAATGTCAATACGTAATAAAAAACCACCGTGGTCGTTTAAACAAGTCATGCAAATTCTTTTAACTAAGTGGAACAAAAAAAATGACGTTGGCGACCTTGAAGATGCTACGAATGTCTCTGTGCATCTTGCAGGTTGCTTGTAAAGCACGGTGCGAATTTTCTTTTGAAAATAATGCATTAATAATTTATTGTACTATATGTGGAACATAATTTTCGTTTTACGGCTTTGATGAAATGTAATTAGTAGAAAACATGTTAAGCATGTCAACCATTTTTCTCCAATCTTGATTAGTCTAATTGCTTTTTTGCATTTCAAATCACTTTTTAGTTAATTAGAAATGACAATATTTATAATAAACGTGAAATGCGATGACGTTTAATAGATTTATTTTTAAGTGTGAAATTGTAATGCATTTTTTTGTAATTATCCATGCAAGTCAAATATTTATTGAATTTTGTATTTTAATAGCATCATCGTTGATTTTATTATTTCCACCTTTATACCTAGGCACCTACAATGAATTACCTAGTTGAATATTTCTTGTCCTTGAAAGTGTAGGCTTTTAAATGAAATTCTGTAGGCTTTTTATTGCCTGCGCGGCGTTATGCAGCCTTTTAGCTATATCTGCAAGCTATGACCCACACTACTTACCTGAGTTTTTTAAATTAATTAGCGACATCGNTGACGTTTAATAGATTTATTTTTAAGTGTGAAATTGTAATGCATTTTTTTGTAATTATCCATGCAAGTCAAATATTTATTGAATTTTGTATTTTAATAGCATCATCGTTGATTTTATTATTTCCACCTTTATACCTAGGCACCTACAATGAATTACCTAGTTGAATATTTCTTGTCCTTGAAAGTGTAGGCTTTTAAATGAAATTCTGTAGGCTTTTTATTGCCTGCGCGGCGTTATGCAGCCTTTTAGCTATATCTGCAAGCTATGACCCACACTACTTACCTGAGTTTTTTAAATTAATTAGCGACATCGTGCAGGGTTGGAACGCGGGATCATTGCGGGACCTATTCGGTGGTAGTATAAGTATGTAACCAAGTAGATTTTTCATCTTTGCATGTCAAAATGTCCGATACTGAAAGTTAACAAAAAAAATTATAGAAATTGTGAAACAATATCCAATTATTTATGATCCTTCGCATCTAGGTTATGAAAAAATATAAGAAAAACAGACAAAATTAGAAGAATATACTACTGTTAGTTGTAAAAGTGCTCTTCCTTGTCTGACGAACATTTATGCATTTTTAGTTCAGTTCTTAGAGCCTAAGAGATGGTTAAAATTTGTAACAGCAGTCGGAGTGTAGGTACCGTAATATAAAGTAGGTTCTTAGTTATGTAAAATATCAATTTGCAATTTTGTCTCTTGTTGGCAAGTAATACTTTTGTATGGGCCTTCTTTAACGCAAGGAGAGAGAGATAGCCTTAAATAACATGGAAGCTGTATTGTCATAAAAACAAAAATTCTGATATGCAAGGGAACAAAAGTAAGGAAACAGTCAATATAAAATTAGGATACGACAAATTGGAAGTAGTGAGTGATGTTTGGTATATAGGAAGTCAGATAACTCAGGATGGAAGGAGCAGGAGATATAAAACAAAGGAAAGCGCAAGGTCGAGTTGACTTTAACAAATGAAGCATATGCTCGTCACTTCTAACTCGCGAACGGTTAATCTAGAAATTCCAAAAAAAATGTTAAAGGTGTATGTCTGGAGCGCGGTGGAAATGAAAAGGTTAGGTTAGGTTAGGTTAGTAACCGCATCAAAAAAAAAAAGGTCGGAAGCGTTCGAAACGTGGTGTTACAGACGAATGATGAGAATACCGTGGATAGAGAAGGTTAGAAATGAAGAGGTATTGGAATGAGTAAGAGAACTATGCAAGTCAGTAAGAAATAGACGAGGTAGGTCGGTAGAACACCTTCTGTGGCATGAAGAGCTAATTAGAGACATATTAGAAGCAGCAACAGGAGTTAAGAGGAGTAGAGGTAGATCTAGATTAGATTACTGTTCACAAATAGTTAAGGATGTAATGTTCTAGTTTTAGGGAAATGTGAAGATTGATGTAGGGAAAAGCGAAGGTGCGTGTTATATAATAATGATGAAGTTATCAAAAAACGCGTGCAAACAATTCTAATTCATCCTGCTTAAGCCAGAGCAGTATGGAGAATGCCCGGAGTGATCTAGCCGACTGTTGTGTACTTTATTTTTACATTAATTGGAACTTTTTTTAATGAAATAAATGCTTATAAGTACGTTCTTTTCCTAAGAGCGTAAAGTGTAAGTTCAACCGCAAAAACTGCAACGAATGAAAAAATAATCCAGAAGGGCGGTATTCTCGATTCTCCTGTCGCGTGTTTCCACCATTACCGTTTCACAGTCGCTGACTTATGCCCTCCTGGTTTGCTTCAATAGGATGGTTTTTATGTAATATCCATTAAATGGATTATGTCTGATAAAGATGACAATCATTTGGAAAATATTGATTAAAAGTATTCCTCAGATTAATGAGGTGCTGGGAATATTTCTATTTCAAAAGCGTCTCTTGAAAAACTATTATTCAGAAACAATTAAAGTCGTTGAAGCTCACACGACTCATCCAAAATTTTTTATAAATGCAAAAAGCTTTTCGTGGACATTTACACGTTTGCCTTTGCCAATGCCATGTTGTACAAATAATTCTACTGCATATGTTAGGTTAATGGACGTGGTGGTTAATTAGGATTGCATTTTTTAATTTCTTGGGGTGTTAATTTTAATTGTTTTCTCTGGAATATTTTGAGGAATCCTTCAATGATCTTTACGAAACCAGGGGGTTCCGACACAATTTAAGAATCGCTGATGTATAGACATTTCATAACCAATAAATACTTCACCGAAGGAATAATATGCCATTTGATGAAAATATAATGTGGTGGCTGATTTTATTGACCTTTTTATGTAATGCATCTAATTCTTTTTGCACTTATTGAATTCACCATCAAAATTTCAAAATAATACAATACCTGGCACAATTTATGTCGGGTACCCGGTTATCCCGTATCCGGCAAAATCACTATCCGGTGCATCCCTACTTATTAATCATCGAATTAAAAAGAACCAACCATGAAACAGTGTGATATGACTAAAATTAATACATTTTCATCCTTTCAATACTTCCATCGTTTTTTAGTTTAAAAAGCAAACCCGAAGAATTTCAATTGGTATTTATCCTTTTTCTTAAGGAAATTAATTTCTAATTTTAAAGCAAAAGAAAAACATTTATTAAGATTACGTTCATTTGGTTGCACAAAATTTTAACTCTTCTATCTTTTCCAACAACTCGCGTATTAAATCCACATCGTACATATTATTAACAACTTTATTATGGATGGTTTCGTGGTTAATTATCACATAAAGTACCGCAAGGCGGTAGTGTAGTTGTCAACGACCACATAATAAATACACTTACAAAAGACTGTTCTAAACTTGTATCGCCCGTTAAAATATTATGACATAGTTATTTATTATTTTTTTGCCACATTGACTGTCTGATAATAATGCATAAACAAATACGCAATTTGCAAATGATTCATTGTCATTGGCGGTAGTCTATAATTTGTTAATTATCGGGCTTGTTAAGGTTTGATGTTATTATTAAAGATGTTTTGTTATAGACCGCCAGATAGTCGTAGATTTCTGTGCTTCATTTTGTTTTTCTGCCTTTAAGAAGGTTGATAAGTTGGTATATTTAGACTATCATAATGTTAAAATTTAAAGTGGAATACTTGACCGATATAATAAAAATCAATTTTATAATTGTATTAAAGAACATGTTGCTAAATGTCTAGATGGCGGCCCCCACCTCCGAAGGGGTTGGGGATGGGTAGGATCGAAAGAGGTGGTCTCTCCTACCACTGTACCATAAAAAGTTCGTGGCGGTCTCAACCCCATAAAACGTTATGGGGGTTGAAAGTTGATTATTTTGTCAATTTTCATACGCTATAATTCAAATAAAATTCAATAAAAAAAATATTTTCAAGCGGGTGGAGGTGGGGGATCGAAAGAGGGTGGTCACTTGAACAAAACCCAACCTACCCTATTGATAAAGATATTTAAATAATGTTTTATATAAATTTCTCAATATTTTTATGTATTTTTCCATTAGTTTTACCGTCACGAAATTTTTATGGTACAGTGGTGGGGGAGACCTCTTTCGATCCCCCCCACCCCCACCCCCAGAGACTTTTACCAACATGTTCTTATCCAGTGCCGGACTAAGGCTAAAGCGGGCATTAGGCAACATTGTAATTCCGGGCCTATTTTTCACTCCTGTCACCGCTTGGATTGCTTTTTGTAAGGGTTAAAGAAATTCACCGAATTATATTTAAATTAGGACATGTTGCAATATTATTATTTACCTGAATAAATGACCACATGGATACAGGCGAAATAATATTTTCTTTACTTGTAAAATTCTTAAATTGTAATACTTCATTTTTCAGTTCTGCTATTGAAGAGTCACTAACATAACTATCATCAAAAATTGTTTTGAATTTATTGCTAATAGTTTTATATCCCTCAGATCTTTTTTTAATGTTGCTAATTAAAGAATTCTTTATCATAATTATATGCAATATACCTAATTTTTGGGCTCCAGAAATGATCCCATTTCGTCGTTTCTGCGGCGCTTACCAAATGAAATTTTAGAAAGAAAAGAGCGGAAAACGTTGAGCAGAAATATTCCACGAGCCCCAATGTTTAGAATGAAAGATCGGTTGTGCAGAAAAATATATGAATTGTCCACATGTCCACGCTTTTGCCTATTGGCTGTATAAAAAT